TTTTAAAGCACCTTAAATTTCTTTAGATTTCTAACTTAGTTTTTTTGTTTCTCTTCCTTGTGATTTATGAGCCGCGAACACTTGAAATACTAAGAGAAAAATAAACTTTTAAGTACATTGAATCTCCTTAGATTTCTATCTTAGTTGTCTCTTAATTCATAGGTTGTAAATTTATTTCAAATCAAACACAGATTTCAAAAGATTTGTATCAGTTCTCCTTGACACTCTATAGACATATCTAAAGATGTGATCCACATTGATCAAGAGTTCTTTCTTTTAGACTTTGAACCCAAGTTCATTCATCATAGCAAACTCATCTTAGAAAAACTTATTACAGAACACCAACACTATAACAATTATAAGGCAAACCAAATACCAAGCAACTTAACTTAGGTAGAGCGTAGTAGGGGTGCTAAAACCTTCCATTTAGGCAACCAGTCCCTCGCTTTAGAATCTTTAAAGACCAGTTAAGGTTCCTAGTGACCATAATACTAGGTGACAACTCTTTTATTCACAAAACAAAGACATCGACATCATTTCCCCATTCCAGGAAGGGTCACCGCGACGCCATGCTCTTATGAGGGTGTGACACCTTTAACCATCTTCTTGCTTGCTAATATCTTTAGACTTGTAAAATTCAAATGTCCAAGTCTTAGATGTAGAGACATTCTTCATTATTGGAGATGACACTCAAATACTTTATTATGTCATTTTAGATATTTATAAGAAACATCATTTTCTTAGACATCTTCACAAAAGCAATTAATCTCTCATTGTAGTCCTTGATTATTAGATGACAATTCTTCATGAAAAGAGTATAATCTTTTTCTAAAAGTTGACCTACACTCAACATATTGTGCTTTATGGTTGAAATATAGTAAACATCTACGATGTATCTATGATCATCACTCTTCAACCTGATTGTAATGTTACCTTTACCTTTTACTAGAACTTTTAAGGTAACTTTAAAGGTGATTTACCCTTGTACATGGTTTCATCTAGATCACCAAATAGATTTTATTGTTCATACATGTGATTGTTGGCTTCAAAATCTAGATGACATACATTCTCTTGATTCTCACCTAATCCTTGTTAGACAAATAATGCAGCTGGTCTTTTTATGGTGGTATATCCACTTGTTAAAGTCTCTCATTGCTTATATTTGTCTTTTTTAAGGGATAATTTTGATTGTAAAGCATGCTAAATTGCGTTATCTCTATTTCTTTTCATAATATTTTGTTCATGAGCTTATAAATAACCTATAAGCTCATCATCCACCATCAACTTGTCCAGTTCTTTAGACTCTTTAATAGTGATAACAACAAAATCAAATTTTAGATATAAGGATTTTAAAATGTTCTTTGTAATCTAAGCATATTTGAGGGCTTCTCCATTTCTTCTTATATGATTGACTATCACTATGATTCTTGTGTGATAATCAAAAATAGATTCTGAGCACTTTATTTGCAATAATTCAAATTCACCTCATAAAGATTAGAGACAAATCTTCTTAATTTTATCAGCATCTTTGTATTTCTATTGGAGAGCCTCCTATATTTCTTTTGATGTTTTTGTTGGAAGCAATAATCTCAAATGTGGCTTCATCAAAACCTAGATAAATAATGGTCTTTACGTTGTTATCTTTCTTTCTATTGACTTTAAAGACTTGCTTTTATGCCTCTTATAGAGAATCTTCTACTTCTTTAAAATTTGGTTCATCATAACCACATTCCACAACCTCTATACATTCTTATGAGCATTCTTATGAGCTAAGAAATGCCTTTAATCTGATACACCAATTATTATAATTATCTCTGGTTAGCTTCTAGATGAGTGTTTATGCATTTTTTATAGTCTTTTTATTATTTAAATGACTATATCACTTTTTAGGAGTTGAATTTTGAAAAATATGGACACCACATATGAATCCAAAATGGTCAAAATAGTAGAAAATTGATCTGACTTGGTTGAAAATAGGTCAAAAATGGGTTGAATTAGTCAAAAAACCAATTCTAGATGTTAGTCAATTCTCTAGGGTTGAATCGGGGATATTCCAAAAATATTCTTTTAGCACAACTTGATGGCTTGGCTTGGCTGAACAACTTGGTGACTCGGGTTATGGCTTCATTTGGTTGGCTCGACTCGGCTCCAATATGGCATGCATGTGGCTTAGTCGTCTTCTTCCTCTAGACTCGTGGGTGATAGTGGCAAATCTTCAGGAGGTGTGTGTGGGACAACACTAGCTTTGATTAGGCTGATTTTTGCACCGTTGAGTTTTTAGTGATGAACTCTATACTGTGAAATGATCAAAATATATTTTTGACAACTTTGAAAATTCAGGTGCATCTAAAAAACTCTTCTAATTTTTACGAACAAGGTTTTGATACCAGTTGTTGATGGGAGAGGTCACTGGTAGTGGCTTTGAAACCCTTTGAAGAGTAAAACACAACGTTTTATTTCATAAATAAGAAGTTTGTTAAGCTCTCAAACACACCCTCTCTTTCTCTCTACTATTTTTCTTTTATATTTCTTACATATAATAACATAAATTTAATTGTCTATTTATATACAAATTAAAAGAATGAAAAATCAGATTTTAAGTGTAAACACAAATTGTTAGTGATAGTGTGAAGACGGTTGATGATTGACTGTGGTTAGTGGCTAGTGGTTGATATCCTCCATCTTCTTAATTAAGTTTACTACAACATTAACCATCTAGGTGGTGACCAAGTGGTAAAGACTTGAGATCAAGGGGTTTGCTCCCTCTGTGGTTTCAAGTTCGAGTTCTTGGTTGCTCATATGATGGCCACTGGAGGCTTACATGGTCGTTAACTTCAGGGCCCGTGAGATTAGTCGTGGTGCGCGCAAGCTGACCCGGACACCCACGTTAATCTAAAAAAAAAAAGTTTACTACAACATTCAAGGGAGCTTCCATGGAAGATGGGTTTATGCTGGAGCTATCTTCTTGAAATATTAGCAAAGAATGGTTACGGAAATAACCGTTCGTGAAGCTAAGCCAACAACATAACTTCAATTTTCAACAACATTTCGGGCTTCATATAAATGCATAAAAAGTTTACTGCTAAAATTGTAAACAAAGTAACCAAAAATATTTCTTACACGAGAATTGCATTGAACCACCTAATTTTGCCGCCCGAGTAATATTTCCTTCTGTTCACATTTCTAAATCACCCTTACTTTTGCTATATAGGACGGAGAAGAGCTGGTCCATTCTCAAAGAGTGGACAAGAAGTCAACAATCTCATGGGGCTGGGATTTATTAATTTGTCATATGTCCATAAATCTTCCAGCCGTCCACTCACATCCTCACTCTTACACGAAGTTTAGCATGTTTTTAGAAGATTGGCCTGCTCAATTTGATAATCAGTCGACATGAGATCTGCTCAGGTCAAGTCACTAAAAAAAGAATAAAAATACATCGTTTTGAAAAGAAAAGAAAAAACTCAAAGCTTGATCATTAATCATGATCCGAGTCTTAGGCTGAATCGATCTTTGGATTTGGTTTTATAAATATTTTGTTTTGCATGACCTACATATCTTACTAGGGTTACAAATGAAAAGATTGATCGAACTCATGGGAGGAAAGACAATACCAGATGAGTACAAATCATTGGTATCAACTACTTGCTTTGCTCCCCTCCTCGGATATGAATTCTTCCGCCTTTTGAGTAAATATTTCCCGCTTTTCAGATTGACGAATAAGCCGTAGTTTTTCTATGTAAGATGGAGAAGAGCTGGTGCTTTCTCTTTAAGTGGTAAAGAGGCAGCTACGTACGGTGGTGAAGATAAAAAAATTTAAATGAGGGCAAAATTACTGATAAATATTTGATATTATGTATTATATATATAAATTAATTCGAAACATATATATTAAGTCCTGTTTATTTTTGTATTTTAAAAGTATTTTAAAAAAAATAAATTTTTTTATTTTTTTCTTTGCTTCAAATTAATATTTTTTTTGTGTTTTTAAATTATTTTGATGCACTGATATCAAAAATAATTTTTTTAAAATAAAAAAAAATATTATTTTAATATATTTATGAATGAAAAACACTTTAAAAAATAACCGCAATCACACTCTCAAACATGTTCTAACTCATATCAAATGAAATTAATTTAAGAACATTTTTAAAATAAAAAAATTTATATTATAATTGTTATGTTCAAGTTTTTATATTTTAAAATTATTTCATGATGATTTTATTATCAATCTCATTAAAAATATTTTTTTCAAAATAGCCCAAATCATATAAAAATAAACGTTGCTGAAAAAAAAATATTGTGATTTTAATAGAATGCATATAAAAAATCCAAAAATGGATGATTTTCCACGAAACATGCATTTGCTTTATTTGGACATGAAGACACAGAGTACTATTCCTTTTCTCTTTTTTATTTCTCATATTTTTCTGTAACTTCCCTTCCATTCATGAGACTTTTCAACTTTTAATTTATGTTTCTGCACGTAAACATGTTTATAAAAAGGTAAGGGGGCAGTTGCCCCCTTATGCCCCAGTGAGGCTCCACCCTTGGCTACGTACACTTCCTAACAAGTTCAAGTTTCAGTTCTAGATGGCAAACCCGCAGTGAGCACTTGTGTAATTTGCATTCATGCATTCTCCAGCATTTCAAAGTTTCCTAACCAAAATCTTTTGTTTGAGAAATCCTATAACTTCTGCAATATTGACATTAACAAGTATTAATCTTGTTGCTATTGTTGTACGTGTTCTTAGTTTACTTTAAAAAATTGTAGGCAATACAGTGTTTGTGAATGGATCGGATGAAGAACTTATCACCATTTTTTTTTAATTAATGTGGTGTTAGGAGTTTGCGTGCATTATAACTAATCCCATAAGTTCTAAAATTAGCAACATATAAGTTTCTAATAATTATCATATAAGCAATCAAAAACTCGAATCTGTATCACCATTCTTAATGAATGTTGATGGTGGGGGAGTGAGAGGTATCATTCCTTATCTAATTTCGCAGGAGTTGGATCCTGAAACAAAGATGTGAGGATTGCAGATTATTTTGACTACATTGCTGGGACTAGCACAGGAGGGCTTATAGCAGCTATGATTACTGCACCAAATGATCAGAAACGACCTTTGTTTGCTGCAAAAGATATCAATGACTTTTATCATAAAAATGCTGCTGTTATATTTCCTCAGAAAACCGAGCCTGACGTTGGAACTCTTCTGGGAGAATTGGTTACCACGCTAAAAGAAAGTAACCCAATCCCAAATGCTGCAAAAGACATTGCAAAGTTTAACCTTGAGGAGTCGGAGCAAATTCTTCAGTTCGTCGAAAACGTTAGTACTAGTTTGTTAATTTGTTTTCCAGATGGAGAAACTGGCACGCACTTATTAGCTCATGTTAACAGGTATAATGGCAAGAGCTCAGGTGACAAATTGATGAGCTCTAGCTTTCTAGATATCATCCGCTCCATCTGGTTTCTTATCTTACCGTTGTGTTCTCCCCGGTATGATGGCGGTCCTCTGCGTGACATAATCCAGAAATTATTGAAAGAGACAATGCTCTCTGAGAATCTGACTAATGTGATAATTCCTTCTTTTGATATCAAGCTTCTACAGCCAACAGTTTTCTGCACATCGAAGGTCATTCTTCTTGATTCTGTGGTAAACTATAGGAAAATTATTCGTCAAGAGCAAGCTGTGGCGATGTTACTGAATAATAGAGGAATTCTGTGTAAATTGTTCACAAGTAATTTAAAAAAAAAAACAACGTATAATATCCTCGTTTTGTAGAAAACACACCGCTAATTGGTAATTTCATGATACCATTTTGTAGTTTACATGAAGTCATTGGGTTAATTTGCTTGTCATTGTGTGTCCAAAATAATTTTATTTTAATTTTTATCCTTAAATTTATTTTTTTAAAATTCACTATGCTAAGCACGTCAACTTAATTATAAATTAATCAATTAGAACATTTTAATTTAACTAAATTAATATTAAAATTAATTTAAATTAAAGTTCAAGCCATGATGGATTTGTCATGTCAACTAGATGTGCATGTCCATTCTCCCACTGTTCCTAAACTGGCAGCATCGCCTTGTCTGGTAATCATTTGTCCGTATATACTTAGAAAAATGTAACAGTAATAAATAATGGCTTGATGTGTTTTAAATTTTTTGTCAAAATAAAAAGGCAACTGGATATATAATGTCATGCCATTATCCTTTCTGATGAAAAAATGCAGGAAAGGCATGAGAAGTCAATGGATGTTCAGCTATCAGAAGTATGTCTTGGGTCGTCTGTAGCACCAACCTACCTTCCTCCTCGGGCACGAGTATATTTGATCATCATCAATTCCTAATATGTAAACCCTCATATAAAATTTATATGGTGTTTATAAACTATTGAAAGTCTAACTTGATAATGAAATAGGTTAAATGAAAAAGAAAAGGAAAAAGTAGTACTGGATAATTTAAAAGGAAATTTTAAAGAAAAGAACTTATATATATGATATTTAAAAAAAAAAGCTAAGATGAGGTGTTTGGTTAAATGAAAAACACATGAACTAGACATGAGGACATTGTTGTAAATATTAATAGCATGAGAATATAAATATGTGACCTTGGTTTCTTTTGGAAGTCACTTTGGCCGAACAAAGATTTTTTTTTATAAGAAGAGAGGGGAAGAATTTTTTTATATCTTTTTCACTTGATCTTCTTATCATAAACACTTAAAGTACTTGGATTGAGAGCTACTACCACCGAGCTATTTTTCAACTACCACCGAGCTCAAACAGGTTTGTCATGGCACGAGTATATTTGATCGTCCCCCTCCTCGTACTCTTAAAACTTCCAGGGAATACAACCCGGTTGATGCATGGGGGCGTTGCAGTTAACAATCCTGTAAGTCACAGTTTATGTAACCTTGTTCTATGTATATTATCTATCTTCAATAAATTTGAAGGAGATAGTCAATTGCTTTTGACAATGTTTTTATCAGACCTTTCTGGCTATATGCGAGGCGATGAAAGAAAAGAAAATCAATGCTCGTAAACTTCTTGTTCTTTCCCTTGGAACTGGATCATCAAAAGGAACTAACAAGCTCGAGGTTGGAAGCCCTGACACCGCATGGGGACTCGTCAACTGGTTTTTTGGACCTGAACAATCTCGCCCATTGACTGATGTCTTGATGGCAGGATCGAATGAGATGGTTGAAATATATACATCCAGTTTCTTTCAGTTCTCTGGTTTAGAAGACAACTATATCCTCATTCAGGTATTTACGACCCCCTTCCTTTCCGTATGAAGCTCCACAGGTGGTAGCTACAATTGTTCATGTGTTTTTTATGCTGCCAAATTCATGATTAAAGATGTTGCAATGCTTGAATGATTGGCATTGTCTAATGAAAACCAAATGATCATACATTTTCCTTGAATGTTAACCAGGTTGATAACTTGACATATGCCGAAGCCTCGATGGACAACTCGAGCAAAGAAAACCTTGACAATCTCGAGAAGATTGGTAAAGAGAGAGTGGAAGCTAATAAAGAAAAGCTCATTAAGTAAGGACAAGATACGTGCTTCTTGGCTTTGCTGTTTCTCTGCTGATCATTAGTTCTTAATTAATTAGTGTAATTTATAGCTGTTTATGCACTGTTGTTCTGCAGGCTTGCCGAAAGATTGTCCGCCATAAGACATGCTAGCCGATCAAGTCTTTCTGGATGATATTTTTTCAAGTACATAGGATGTTGCTGACACCAGACACCCGTTATTAGTTCCATAGTTTTCAACTTCGAAAGTAAGAAAAAAGAGGGAAAAAAAAAAAGGCCCTGTAATTCTAGTCTAGTATCAGAATAAAGTCAGAGAGCATATATATGGCTTCTCTATAACCAGCTATCTAGAAGGATTTGCAACCAACTTCAATTTCAGAGATTGACACTTCAGGCCAGGTTGCTTCTTCGTCAGCTGTAGTACGTAATAGTATTTATACAAGAATAAGAAAATAAGCTATATATGTTATATAAGAAATAATTTGTAGTAAAATAAGTATGTCCACCAAGAGATGGCATTTGGCTCGAGCTGTATGAGCTTGGGTGGGGATCTGGGCAGTGATCCTAAGGTTATTTGAGTTGTAGACTCTCTATTGTAATACATAAATAAAGCAGCAACATCTGAAAAGAGGTCTGAGTTTTTATGTCGTTGAAGAATGAGATTGGAAATACTAGCGATGCATGCAAAGAAGCTCGCTGTGTCTGTGTGTAAGGATAAAACTTCTATGCTAAACTGCTAGTATGAAAAATAGATCATTGGGGATAACTACATAACTAGAGGATTTGCAAGCAAAGAAAACTTCACAGAGTACACTGACACATCAAGCCAGACTTCTGAGTGATAGAGTAGTGTACTCTGTATGGAGAATAATAACCCATATCAAAGAATACCATAAGGAACGAAAGCTGCTCTTGAATTGTGATAGAGGGGTAGGATTTGAGCAGTTATGTCTCAAGTATGACCAGTGGATTCTCTATTGTACCAAGAAAAGAGAAAAGGAAGAAACAAAGCAGCAGCATTCATAAAAGTTCGACATGTAGATTCTCTGCTTCACCAAGAAACCAAGAAAAAGGCAGGAAGAAATAAAATTAAAGCCTCCGAGCTTCCATTTTGTGCAACAATTAGCAGATTGCCGCCATTAGTAATCTACAAGAAGAAGCTCGTAATGAATATTTGGATTGTTCAAGTAAATGATGAACCTATGGATAGCTCTAAACTTACCTAAATATAATTAGACTTGTTTGATCTTATTATAGGGTGTTTTGGGGCTTACAACTGCTCTTAGCTAAACTTAAAGAGAAAATGAACCTAAAACTTCTTCAAGACAGTCATCCAGTTCAACGCAGCTTGAGTAGAATCTTTTCTATGCATCTTGCCCATAAACAACTTTGCAAACACTAAAACAGGTCATAGAACATTAATCGGCAACAAAGCAAACATTGCCTGCAAGTTCCAAACCATGGTAACCAGACCCTGGTGGAATTTATAACTTGAATTAAATAATGAGGTGGCTTGAATTGATTGGTTGATTTAATTAAGCAAATAGAGTTAAAATACATTGCCTCTCATCCAATAAATAGAATAAGATTTGAAATTCGGCTTGGCACTTGTTTCTTAGCTGGATATGAACCTGTGTAACCTAGCTTTGATCATTTATATATATATATATATACACACACACCTAGGCTGAAGAAATTATAGAGGCAGAAAGACTACAGTATCTTCTTGAGGCAGTCATCTTTGTGATTTTGCCATCAACAAAATTAGTGTGGTTTTCTTGCGAGTTACTTCTAAGTATATCCAGGTTTTTGGATAACAAGATATTTGAATGTGAGCTTGATTTGCATTTGCAATCCCTAATATTTGATTGCGAAGTTTTGTGAAGTTTTATTCAAATAAATTCAATTTCTGTATCCCTTTTGTTTGTGTTAAAAAGTTCAAACAAGCAAGAATTTAATATTTCCCAGAAACGGAGCTCATATATACACAACAGGGGTTAAGGTTGCAAATGACAAGATGAGCATTGCTTTACAAGTTCAAATGAAAAACTACATTGTTGCAAAAGATAAAGCTTGCAGCACTTAATTACGTGAAATACATCTAAGACATTATCTTGATCATGCACTTCAGTTCTCTATTATTTGACCACAATCTTCAACAACAACAGGTTCCTTTGTCGTCCCACTATTGGACCCTACCTTCTCCATTTCCTGAACAACGCCATAGCCATCTACAACTTTCCCAAAAACAACATGTTTCCCATCAAGCCATGAGGTCTTCTCAGTGCAAATGAAGAATTGGGAACCATTTGTGTTCGGTCCAGAATTTGCCATTGATAAAACACCAGGCCCTGTATGCTTCAGCTTAAAGTTCTCATCTGCAAACTTTGCGCCATAGATTGATTCTCCTCCAGTTCCATTACCCCTAGTAAAATCCCCACCTTGACACATGAAGTTTGGGATTATGCGATGGAAAGTCGAACCCTTATAGTGTAAAGGTTTCCCAGCATTTCCAATCCCTTTCTCCCCGGTGCATAGAGCACGGAAATTTTCAGCAGTTTTTGGAGTAGCATCAGCAAATAGTTCCATCACAATCCTCCCTGCTTTCATCTTGCCAATTAGAATGTCAAAGAAAACTTTCGGATTCGACATCTTCAATCACACAATTCAAACCCTGTTAAACATCAAAAGAACAAAGAAATTTCAGTACCTAAACTAGCAACAATCCCTAAATGCCTATTTTCATACACTAGATTCCCACAACAACTATAACATCAAAACAGAATAAAAAAGAACAAAGAAAAGAATAACCAATGTAGCAACTTGTTCGAGGCCATAATCAAAATGAAATCAAGATTTGATAGGCACGGAGAATTGCTATTAGTATCGCCAAACTTCAATGCAAGTTGTGCCATTTTCGACACCCTTGCTCTGCAAATTGGCTTTACAAAACCCAAAAAAAAATCCAAAGAGATAAAGCCACCAAACATAAAGACAGGCAAAAACCCAGATCCAGAAACATGCATTTCTTATCAAAACGAAGACCCAAATCCATACAAAAGCATAACTTTCAAAAATAATAGCAAATGAATAAAAAAATGTGCATCACCCCACAAAAAATCCTCAAGCAAACAGGTATATTGTCAAAAGGTTTTTTTTTAATGGGTGATTTATGATATTGCACAAGCTTTGAGCTCACAGATTTTTTGAAATAAACCACCTGCAAGCCTTCGATATGTGCTCTTCAACACTCAAAACACGCAAGATTTACATCAATTAGTTCAAAATTAATACAAAAGAGAATAAAAATGCAGTGCAAACTGTGAAACAAGAATGAGAGAGGTTGAAAGTAGTGTAGAGAAGGCGCACACCTTGACACGTGAGATTGGAGTTGCAGGGGCCAGGTGAAGAGATGGAGGTGAAGGATTTTAGCTGTGGTTTATATAGGCGGAGGTGTTGGGGGTTTAGGGTTTTACAAGAAACTTTTTTATTTGTTCAATTTTACCCCTTTATGTTTTGACTATTTTCATTATTGCCCTTACAAGAATGGGCTAAAAGATGGAAGGAAGCCTTGATGCATGTTAGACAAAAAAGCCTTGAAGTTTAATTTAAGAGCCTACAAAAGCCACATTAATTGTATATTTAACATATCTTTAAAAGGATAGCAATGAGACCTCAAGCTAGATTCCTCTTCTTATTTTTATTTTTTTTACATATGAGATATTTATTAATTAATTATTATAATCATTAATTAAAAACATGGTTTAGCGTAGAAAAGTACAAAAATAATACTTGGGAGAGTCAGAGAACTTACTAACAAAACTAAACCTAGCTATAATCATAGTCAAACAAAACAAATATTAAATTAATTAATTAATTAAAATCAAACTACTAAGTCAAATTTATTAAAAAAAATTAATATAAATTTAATGATTTATTAAAATATTTTAATTTTTTTTGATAAATTACAATGATTTATTAAAGTATTTTAAATTGCAAAAACCATTTAAAGTTTAAAATCTAGATTATCGAGAAAGTTGTTATTAATACAGTTTATAACATGTCTTGGTAAGTTAATTTTCTAACTTTATGCAATTTAAAGCGTAATTGATTGCATAAAACAACGCTTTGTATCACATATTTCGGGTTTTCAGTATTTAAATTCTAGATTTGTTTATCTTTTATATAGTTTTGACAAATTTATTTCTTATACATAATTTTTAAAACAATTATTGATTGTGGTGTTTTTCACTTGCAATTTATCTCTTAAAATAACTTATATGTTCCTAGCAATAAATTACAAATGTTTTTTCAACATGATTTTAACAAGGATAGAAATTATTATTTTAATTTAATGTAATAAAATAACACTTTTTATAAACTATAGTAAAAAAGATGATTTCTATGTATGGTTTTAAATATTGTAAGTTTAATGATAATATATATCAAAAATAAAATAAAATTTTCTAAGTTTTATTTTGTCTTGTTCTTTATTAATTAAAGAGAATATAATAATACTCACTTTGTTTTATACATTACCACTAAATACAGGTAAATATCTATCTTTTATTTTATTTTATTTTATCTCATCTCTTTATTATAATTATTATTTTATTATTTCTAGAAATTACCAAATGTTATTATAATAAGCAACTCATTCTTCATATTTTATTTTCATTTATATTTTTATATTTGTTTTATGTAAAACATGTTTATTAATTTTCTTTTTCACTTGCAATTTATCTTTTGAGATTTTGAATTTTATAAGATCCCATCATCTAACTTCTTAACATAATCCCAAAATTGAATAATTTGTCTAACCATTTTCATCATCTTTCTTCTTTGGCCCTTCAGATATAATAAATTTTGAGTAACAAATGGATTTCAAAATAATTGTCAGAAAAAGAGACTGCATGGATATGTTCGTTGAAGTGGATAGCAAAATGACCAGGTAAGAAATTCTCCTTGTTCTTAGATATGCTCGTTGAAGTTGATAGCAAAATGAACAGGTAAGAACAAAACTACAATATCTTCTGAGTTCATGAATTATTAAGCAACATATATAATTAAGCTCAGCTACCTGATCAATCTATAATCCTACTTACAAATTTTACAACTTGCTAATTGACTTTTATATAACTAAATGGGAACTTTTATTTGGAAGCGTAAAAACAACATAAAACATATTTGGGTTGCGCAAAAAGAAACAAAATCGGATTTTTGATTTATATTTCTATATATCTCAAGTTATTTCTTAGCAAATTTTTTGTTCCTTTAAAAAGGAGAGACAAAAAGGTAGAAATTAACAACGATATTCAATTTAATGTTTTTCACAAATATTTCTTTAAACATTTATATTTATATTTTTTATCTTTATATTCATATGTGGACTATTGAATTTAATTAACTCAATTTACACTATTAGATCTGAAAACTAGAAAACATAAAAGCAAAATTCTTATATATATATATAAGGGAGGAGGTTGTTTAATATTTCTTTATCACACACATATAAATTTTTCAATTTTAAAAAATACTTTCTAAAAATATAATTGTATTAAAAGTTTGATTTTTAATTTCATCAAATGTATATAGAAACATCAATCGCTCAAATAAACAATAAATTATTTATATGATTTAA